ATAATTATAATTATAATTCACGATATTATTAGGTATAATTACTAGTATTATACTACCTTCCTCCCTCCCCCCCCCTCCAAATAGACAAGACGGACTAAAACTAAAAAGTACGGCTCCAGTCCTACTACTAACTCTCACTACGCACGGCGCTACTAAGTCGTAGCACAAGCAGATCAGTCTCTCTTTTATCCACTGTCCATCCTTCTGGCCGTCTCTCCCTCTTCCCTTTCCATATCGGCCCTGTCTCTCGTTTCCCCGCGACTGTCCTTGCCCTTCAAATTAGTCCTCTTTATTTCTTTAGTCTTTTCATTTTTCCCTTTTTAGACTTGTCTCGATTCTCTTTCCTTCCCTTCGTTATTTCTTATTTTTTGGCTTTAATCCCCATCCCATCCCTCTCTTCTCTCTTTTTCTTTTACTTCATCATCTGTCTCCCGGTACCTTTGATCGTGATCGTCCCGAATCCAAAAAGGGTTGGCTCGTATCGACCAGAGGTTCCTGTCCTTCCTTCTATCAGATATAACTATACCGTACATTCACCAGAAGATCAGAAGACGTTGCATACTTGCAGTCTTATCTATAAAACCCTAATTCGGCCTGCACTCTTCTGCCTTCAGTCATTCATTCATCCAGAGCAAGATATCTACATTCATTCAGCAACTACAGTGCTCGACATCTATCATTAGCACCAAGCTGCCTCGACACCATTCTGGAACCAACATTCTGACATAGACTAAACATACTTAATAATACCCCCCAAGAGGTAAAGCAGTACTCGCTTGATCCTCAGCACATTTCACCATTGGTTCGTCGAAGGAACACTACATCATTCAGGATGTCCATACTAATGCCTTATCTTCTAGTCACAATGGACGCTACATACACCATGGCACCATCGGTGCAAGGACAACCATCTTTTGCATATTACCCTACTGCTGATTCACAAAGACAACAATACACAAGCCACCCGTCTGAACCCCAGCCATACTATGGACAGATGCAGGCCTTCGCTCAGCAACATTGCCTACCAGAGCAACAACCGGTCTACAATGCTCAACCCATGATGAATATGCATCAGATGGCTACTACCAATGCCTTCCGAGGAGCAATGAACATGACTCCCATCGCTTCCCCTCAACCATCTCACCTGAAGCCCACAATCGTCGTCCAGCAAGGCTCCCCAGCCTCATGCCTTTGGACACAAGGTTCGTCGGCGACTACTATAACTTCCCTTCCACTCCTCCACTCTCCACCGCTGGAAGTTCCATCAGCAGCCCACCATCCAGCAGTGGCACACTGCACACCCCAATTCACGACTGCTTCTTCTCATTCGAAAAGGTGGAGGGTGTGAAAGAGGGCTGCGAAAGTGACGTCCATGCCGAGCTTCTGGCCAGTGCCGACTGGGCTCGGTCAGCAACGTCGCCTCCCATGACTCCTGGTATGTATTATTCTTTTTTGTCATTTTCATCAATTGAGCAGGGGATTGGAACCAGCAACTAACTTCTTCTAGTCTTCATTAATGCCAATTCTCTCACTGCCAGTCAGAGCTCAGACTTCCTCTCTGCAAACGGCTCTTGTCCCTCTCTTTCTCCTTCGCCTTCTCCTGTGTCTTCCTTGTTTGCTCCGTCCCAGTCGGCTTTCCCTGTTGAGCAGGCCACTTCCGACTTTTGTGATCCTCGGCAGTTGACTGTCGAGTCTTCCGTCAGCACATCCTCCCCCGCTGAGCTGCCTCCTTTGCCCACTCTCTCTTGCGAAGAGGAGGAACCCAAGGTGGTACTGGGAAGCGAGGCTGTGACTTTGCCAGTTCATGAGAACCCATCACCCGCTTACACCAGCTCTACTGAGGACCACCTCACTTCATTGCCCACCTTTGACAGCTTTTCCGACCTTGATTCGGAGGACGAGTTTGTCAACCGCCTCGTTGACTTCCATCCCAGTGGCAACGCCTACTACATGGGTGAAAAGAGACAGCGTCTCAGCACTTACTCTTTTGAGGATGAGGAGTTCCTGAGTGAACACAGTTTGGAAGACTCTTCAGACGATCTGGATTTGACCCAATCGGGCCTTTCTTTCCTGGGATGCACCGATTTTGCCCCGGTCCAGAGTGATGCCAGCGAGACCTCGGACGAGATGAAGACGAAGAAGCGAAGCAACTCGCGTAAGTCTCTCAAGAGAGCCAACTCTGAGGACCAGGATGTTCTCAAGAAAGCACAGGCACCGGTCAACAGCCGGGCCAACAGCACAGAGGCCAACGCGGCTCAGCAGGCGGCTACTCCGTCCCGCTCAGTCTCGGAAGCCAATGTATCTAGCTCTTCCGAAACCCCACCTGTTCCCGTGTCGGTGAACCGCCGGGGTCGTAAGCAATCCCTGACGGATGATCCTTCCAAGACCTTTGTCTGTTCTCTCTGCTCTCGTCGTTTCCGTCGTCAGGAGCACCTTAAGCGCCACTACCGCTCTCTGCACACCCAGGACAAGCCCTTCGAGTGCAACGAGTGTGGTAAGAAGTTTTCTCGGAGTGACAACCTTGCGCAGCACGCCAGGACCCATGCCGGTGGTTCTATCGTCATGGGCGTCCTGGACACAAACAGCGCATCTCAACGGTATGAGGAACATGACGCGAGTGCTATGGGTGCTGTGCTCTATGAAGCTGCCAACGCTGCGGCGACTAAGTCGACGACTAGCGAATCATCCGAAGATGGTGTTTCTGACGCACCCTCTATCGATCGTCGATCTGCCAAGAAGCGCAAGCGTGACGAACACGCTTAGTTGCCTCCATTGCCGTTTGCAACTTCACGACGCGATGTGACCAGGAGCTCCCCCCTTACTACTTAATACACTATCATAATTACTCCACCATTGCACTGGTTGGTCTGACTTTTGTCTTTACGGTTTTGGCGTCTGGGCATTTACATTGGCGGTGTCAGGTGGGAGGCTAAGGTGTCTGGTAAAAGGATTTCCGTTTCTCACACAGGGGAAAAGAGAAACATAATACAGCATATGGTCTTCACAAAGAAAGACTTACATTGGAGGCATTAGACCGGTTGTCTGGGCTGCAACGGTTTCGGCGCACTGGGAGTCCACGGTTTGGACTAAACTTAGAGCGCATGACGACTTCTCGTTTTGAGGCACTGGTGGTGATTTGGGATTTTTCTTTTCTTTTTCTCATACTCGCATTTTCTGGCAAAGATATTTTGCCTCGATCAACAGAATGGCTCAAGTCATTCTTCACTTCTGTCCCCATTTCCCTTTCTTCTCTTCGTTACACTTCTCGTTCACCTTGCATTCTTTGTCCCTATTTGATGTAATATTTGTTTTGACCTTGACCCGGGTTGCACCCTCACCACGTCATTCCTGTGCTGGCCACATGTATACTTCAACTTGTCCCCAATCATTGCCTCATACCCCTGTGCGCATCATCCTGTTTTCATTTTGTTTTGCATCAATACTATTCCCCCCGCTGTTATTAATTCAAGTGCCCATTCAATCTGCGGCATAGTTAGTGATAATCAAAGAATCATCAAAGAAAAACACAGTCCTGAAAATGTAGCGTAGTAGTTCCTCTACAATCCATGGTTAGTGGTTTGGCTTCCGTCTCGGAACTCCGAACCACTGTCTGACCGCAGTAAAAATTAAGTTAAACGGGTTCAATCCTTAATCCTGAATGATTAACAACTAAAAAGGCCCAAACCCTGGTCTACCTTAAACCGAACTATCACTAGTTTACATATCTCCAGCATCTAGACTCTAGCGCAAGCGCGGGGCCACCTACCTACTAAATAACAGGGAAAAAAATACCCCTCCTCAAATGATAAAACCCACCCCACCATGACCCCATCACCACGACCACAACAGGGCAAAAGCCTAAATGTGATCGCCCTAATATCTGGAGGAAAAGACTCTCTCTACTCTCTCCTCCACTGCATCCGCAACGGCCACAAAGTCATCGCCCTTGCAAATCTCCACCCCCCGGTCCAAGATGCCCAAGAGCCGGAAGAAGACATTGACAGCTTCATGTACCAAACCATCGGCCACGCCGTAATCCCACTCTACGAGCAGGCCCTGAACATCCCACTCTACCGCGCCCCCATCTCCGGCGGTGCGGTCGACACAGCCCGCATCTACCGCAATGATGCTGCAGATCAGATGGTGGAGTCCGGGCAGGAAGACGAGACGGAGTCGCTCGTTCCGCTGCTCAAACGGGTGATGGAGTGTCATCCGGAGGCGAATGCCGTCTGTGCGGGGGCTATCTTGTCCACTTATCAACGGACGAGGATTGAGAATGTGGCGTTTCGGCTTGGGCTGACACCGTTGGCTTGGTTGTGGAATTATCCGGTGCTCCCAGCGCCGGTGGAACGGGCGGGCGTGGTTACGCAGGCGGGGCTGTTGGAGGATATGGCGGGGGTTGGATGTGAGGCGAGGATTATCAAAGTTGCCTCTGGGGGGCTGGATGACGGGTTTCTATGGGGGGATGTTTCGAGTCGGGATGGGCTTGTGCGAAGGAAGATTGAGAGGGGCATGAGGAGATTTGTGGTTGATGATTTGGGGGGTGCTGTTCTTGGGGAGGGGGGTGAGTATGAGAGTCTGGCGGTTGATGGGCCTGCGTTTCTTTGGAAGGGGAGGATTGAGATTGCCGAGAGGGAGGTCTGTTCTGGGGAAGGGGGTGTTGGGTTTGTGAGGCTTCGGCGGGCGAGGTGTGTGAGGAAGGATGGGGAGGATGGTGTTTCTCCGGAGGATGTGAGGCGGCCGGCGTTGTTGGATGAGACGTTTTCTGGGGTTTTGGATGGGGTGGTGTCGGATGTGAGGGATCTGGATGTCATCGAGACGGTGAAGGAATCTCAGCCTGTGTGGCGGCTTGGGGAAGTCGCTCAGTCGAGGAATGGCGGCACTTGGGCTATCTCGAATCTTGCGGCGCCTGAGGCTGGCCCTGGTGCTGGGGAGCAGATGGAGGCGATTGCGCGGAAGATACAGCTTATTTTGGAGTCTACGGGTACTCAGACTCCAGCTGATATTGTCTTTGCTACGGTTTTGATTCGCTCTATGGTTGATTTCCCGTTGATGAACGATATCTACGTTTCGCTTTTCAAAAAGCCGAACCCTCCCGCCAGAGCTACGGTGGCTTGTGGGGATAGTCTCCCCGAGGGGGTAAAGATTATGGTCTCGTTGGTCATCGATTTGGGCCCCAGGGATCTGCGGCAGGGCCTTCATGTTCAGTCCCGTTCGTACTGGGCCCCGGCTAATATTGGACCGTATTCACAGGCTATGTCTACCCCGGTGCAGGCATCAGAGCGGCTGGTGTATATTGCCGGTCAGATACCTCTGGAACCGGCGTCGATGGATATAGTCGCTGGCCCGGAGTCATGGCTTGAGAGCTACTCCTTGCGAGCGGTGTTGTCTTTGCAGCATATGTGGAGGGTTGCGGCGGCGATGCAGGTTGACTGGTGGTTGGGGGCAGTTGCGTATCTAACGGGAACAGACCACATGGATACCAAAGCCCACATCGCATGGAGTCTCTGGGAGACGTTGCATGCCCAGCAAACCGATTCAGACGAGGATGACGAAGAACCAGCGTTGGATGCTTGGGACATCAAGTATGGAGGACGAGCTTATGACCAACCAACAAAGTCAGAGGCAGCTGCTTTGCCAAACATATCCGTGGTGCAGTCGGACGTGCTGGTTCCTCCCTTCTTTGCTGCCCAGGTTGCTGAACTACCCCGGGGTAGCGATATCGAATGGCAGGGTTTGGGTTATCGGTGTGGTGGTTTGAGGATGGCTGCGGAAGAATTGGATGTTGGTCGCAAGATCGACACCATCACGGACGAGAATCTGCGATACACAGGAGTCGAGATTGGCAAAGAATCAGGCCCTGAACTGGAGTCGTGCCTGCAGCGCATTCTCGAAAGATACTCCACAGCGGGTGTTTCCCATGCAGTTCTCTACACAGCACAGCCGCTGTCCGGGAATAGTTGGCCGGGTCAGATCGTGCCTTGCACGTCAGTATGGGGCCAGAAAGGGCGGCAATTGGCGGCTGGGATCATCCTACAGACGCATAACCCCACGGACGCGTGGTCCGAGTAGAGAGAATTACTACCGCTGCATATTGCGTGACATAAGAACAAGGCTGATGCCACGTTCGCCCAGAAGGCCTGTGTGTAGATTTAGCATCAACCCTAATTGATTGGTCACATCTGCTCGATAAGTTGGTGCTTAGACATCAGGAGATAAGTGTCTGGCGATCAGCTATGGTATGCTGAGTCAGAATTGACTGGAACATGTTTGGTTGAAGCAATACTAGATTTCATGAAATTAGGATCAGGAAATTTGTGAGTGGAATGTTAATCATAGAGGCCTAGATCTATGCATAATCTGGGTGAAGGCCGTTGACATGCATTATCCCGTGAGCCTAAAAGCATGTGATACGCAAAAAACCGCCTCCGTTTTCGTTGCCTCATTAGATAACAACCGATCCTTCACAACGCCTCCACCAGCAATACGCCTTTATACTCACTTTGTATGTCCTGGATTGCCCGTTTGCACTGGCTCATAGAAAATCTACTAACGTGGTATTGTCGGTTTAGTGCCCCGTGTCTCCGCAACTGTCCCCTTAGATATGACGTACTCGCTCTAAAACTCTCCGATCAAGAGTCCATGGGGTCATGGCCGCTTCGCAGAACCATGAGGAGGAGAGATTACCTCTCCCCAATAATCTATTCCAACCCGATTCATTTGTCCCGGACAGTCTCCGAGATACTTCCCGGTCGCCGCACCCCTACCATCGCAAGGGCTCCAAGCGCTCCGAACCACATTTGCTACCTACCGAGGGCGGCGATCGACTAACTCCCAACTCATGGCCTAAAACGTCCAGTGATAGCGGCACCGAGGCAGATGATGAGAGTACAGGAATTTTAAAAGGACTCCCGGCGCCTCCTCTGCGCCAACGGAAAGGCTTGCGTTCGAGCTTCAATGATGCCGCAGACCGTGACTCGTGGTTGCCGTTATTGCAACCGTGGTCCTCACTGGGACGGTCAACGTCCCGGAGCTCACGACAGAGCTCCAGTGAAGACACGGGAACTGGACGGGTGGGATTACGAGGGAAGGTCGGAAAAAAGCGCCTTGAGGTCTTGCGACGGCTATTAGAGACCGGTCTGCTATTGTCCGTGGGCGCGGTTGTGCTGTCCCAGGAGAATACGAGGTCACTTGCATGGGCTTGGAGGAAAGGTACGTATGACTGTTGTTCGGAATTCTTACAAAATTCATCACTTACCTGTATCGCTTGGTAGAACTACTTGCTCATGGCGTTCTTGTCTCTGGGCTGTACGCGGTGTATCCGCTCAGGAGAAATGGACGCCTACGGCTTTCTGGATTAAACTCTTTTACCATTCCAAGCAGTTTCGACCCCGCTCCCCTTCTTTACCCGATTTTGATACCCATTTACACCTCTTTGTCCTTGGCGCACCGTAGCCCTGCGCTGGTATTGCCGAACATCATTCTCAGTCTCTCGTCTTTACCCGCCCCGGTCATTCCACTGCGCGAGTGGATACATGGTCACAGTGTCGTCCATTGGTTGGTCACGTTGATACCCATTATTGTCTCGGAGCATTTTTCTGCAGATCACAAGATACCCAAGCCTCTCACGCTTCGCGGCCTCAATTCTGAAGTTTTGACCCTTGTTTTTCCGTTGCATCAAGCATTGATACCCACTTTAGATTTCTTATTAACTACCAGTATCCTTCCGGCAGAGCTACAGCTTTTGACGAGTGCTCTTGTGAATCTGTTTTTGTTTGCGAGCTCCCCCCAGGCGGAGATCCTTAAAGCGCTATTGTGGCTGGGCGGCTTGTGCATTTTTATCTCTTGCCGGCATGTTCTCCGCTGGGAGGTCGCTCTAGCTAGGATCCCCAGCTGGAAGTTTAGACGGTCGCCCAGTGGTTCACAATCACGAAAAAATCTCTTGTATGTTATCGACCATAAAGTCTGCCAAAAACTGAGCCGAGCGGGCTCCTCCGAAGATGCTATGTCAGACAGTGAATACGAGGCTCACATAGCGCCAATATCACCCAGAACAACGCATGAGTTCCGAGAGAAGACTCCAGCTAGAGGAACGACCGACAGAGCTCCCCAAGAGAATGGTCATCGGCATGCAGTGAATCGACGACGACATACTATCTCCAGCGTGGATGAGGCTGCACATTCAGAGCGTATCAGGACCACTCCCAGTGGCCGACGGAAGCGATCGATGGCCCCGGGTCTGGCATCCTTTTTGTCACTGACTGTACCACAAGCACAAGTGCGGAAATGGCTTTACGCCCTATACGTATATGCGGCTGTGGCAGTTATCATCATGGGCCCAGTGCGGAAGTACGTGAGCGAACGTGCGCTGGCTGGAGAGGAGCCGTTTGGGTGGGCTTTGAGCTACCTACTTGGAAATGTGTCCTGGTTCAGGTTCTGGGTGTTCATGTGGAACCTGGAGTACTGGATCCCTCTTCCTCCTCGCTTGGATCGTGAAATGTGCTCTCTTGGCTGGATGGAGTGTCTCCGGCAGACTTCTTTTGGGGAAGCCAACGCACGTCTTTTAATTGCTGCTCATTGTATTGTGGTGATTATGATGGGCCTGGGTGTTGTTTTTAAGTTGAGCTCCATTGTAGAAGTGGATACAAGACGCAAAGTCTTCCACGGCATGATGGTATTGATGTTTCTTCCCACCATCTACATCGATCCTGCATTCTGTGCTCTCGCTCTCGCTCTAGTACTGTCTATATTTCTCCTTCTGGATCTTTTCCGAGCTTCCCAAATGCCGCCCATCTCTCGTCCGTTGACTTATTTCCTGGCACCCTATGTTGACGGCCGTGACCATCGGGGACCTGTCATTATCTCTCACATCTTCCTTCTTATCGGATGCTCTATTCCCCTGTGGCTTTCTTTGGCTGACATCCCCCGATCGGAAGACCACCCGTGGGGCGCATGGGATGTTCAGTTCCGGGATGTCAGTATGGTCAGTGGAGTAGTATGCGTCGGCCTTGGAGATGCAGCGGCATCACTGGTGGGTCGTCGGTTTGGTCGGCGTAAGTGGTTCTGGGGTGGAGGCAAGTCTTTGGAGGGCAGTGTGGCTTTTGCGGCGGCCGTGACTGGGGGTCTGGTGTTTTCCCGATTGTGGCTTGCCGCTGGCCAGTGGGCTGTGCATGTGAACGATGAGCAGAATCATTTATTCTGGCTTTGGACGGTGTGCAAAGCCATCATAGCGGCTGCAGGCACCAGTGCGACCGAAGCGATTTTGACGGGGTGCAACGACAATGTGGTTGTACCGATTGTGCTGTGGCTGCTCGTCAGGGGCCTTGGTCTCTGAAGATAGATAGATTACTGGGACATGCTTTTTGGATGAAACAGTCCCTGGGAAGCTTATTTGACATGATTTTGACTCTTTAGATCAGGAAAATGGTAAGGGATTTGTATTGTATTTCATTCTTGTCCTTTTTTTTTTTTCATTTTTGCTTTCCTTTTCCCTCTCTACCATGTTTGTTGCAAGATTTGGAAGGAATACTGGGCGGCGTAGATAGCCTTGCCTTTGTGTTGGAAAAGATTCACATGACACCCATGAGATACCCGTGACCCAAAATCGAAGATAATAATATGACTGGTTGAATCCCCTTAGGCAACTTTCTACGATTCGTCAACGAGGTTGCTGATCGCCAGCCTGGAGGTCTTTAGTGGACGCCAACATATCTAACGCGTCTCCACTTTGGTCTTATCGATGATTCGGCAGATCAATCTTCAGTCATTCAGTGGCAAACCGGGCGCTTGTGAACAGGAGGCTATCATCAGATGAGTCATTCACTCCGGTGATGAAGAGAGATGAGAAACAGGAGTGCAGGTGTCATGGTGAGAGACTATAGTACTACTAGTAGTAGTAGTAAGTACATAGATGTCATAGAATAGCGTGGTTCCATCGTTGGTCGTGCTTGCGTATTTGGCTGCCATCGAAGCGATAACGTGATGCCCTTCCGGCCTCAGGCCACTGCTAGATTAGGTTCCCATTTCGGAGACACCCTGGTTCTCTATCGTCGCCATTCTTTCTGGATCTTCCATCATTTTACAGTCGCCTTCAGGAATCTGACCATTCTCCTCTCAGTCATCTCAGTTATCCCCGGTCATTCCAGTAGCTAACCTGTTCCTGTTTTGGGTATTCATCTGGATTGGTTCCCGATCATCTCCCAGTCCATCGCCGCCCTTCTGACCGCCTTGCTTCCCACTGGTCCCCAATAGATCGTTATCGCATACTAGTTTAGCACTGGTACTTTTCCCCAACGACGAGATCGTCAAAGGTTCCTTGGGTCTACTACTTGTCACCCGCCCTGGTCTCATCACATCATCCTCCGCTGATACGCCAGAGCCGGTACTTCTCTCCTTTCTTCTGTCGATTTGCCTCTATTTGACAGTCTCCTTTTTCTCTGATCTACTCCCATTTGCTTTTTCTCATATCAACGCATGTACCACCTTCTATAGAGCGTTATCGGGGATAATCCCGACCACTATCGACCTTGATCAACATCCTTGGCTACCTCCTGCAGCTATCGCCTTCCTATCAGCGTAGAGCACCCGTTTCCGCCTCACCGCTCTCGTACGCCTGTATACTGTTTCCATCCTTGTCGTTGCTGCTCACCTCGACACTTCTCCTTCTCAGCGACTCGGTCCACTTTCTGTCGTTTCGGTCCTTGACGTCTGATAGCTCGCTCATCGTCTCCTCTCTCGTTCCACGACTCTCGGCCTCTGCTTTCCTTCTACGTTCCACCCCCCCCAGCCTTATCTATTCTTGATAGCTCCCTATCGACCGGCCCTCTGGACATCGCCTCCTTCCCCTGATGGGCCACTTCCATCATCAATCGTTGTTGCTGCCGTTGCTGAGGTAGTTGTGTGGCCGTCAGGGCGTGGCTGATTCTTTGTGAACGCTCCTCTTAGGGCGTTGTCGCCGCCCTGTTTGCAGTATGGCATCTTCACACCACAGGAGGTCCAAGGAGACCTCCCATGCCGAGATGCCTATTGGTCGTTATACCAGACTGGGTGAGATTGGCCGAGGGAGTTTTGCTACAGTCTATCAGGGCGTCCATACGGTAAGTCTAGATTGGTTAAGGTTCATTAGGTCTGTTCAGGTGGAGCTATACGGGGGCCAATGCTAATTACTTTGGGTTTCTAGAAATCACGTACTTACGTCGCCATCAAATCCGTCAACCTCTCCAAATTGAACAAGAAGCTAAAAGAGAACCTTTCCTCGGAGATTCATATCCTGAAAGGGCTATATCATCCACATATCGTTGCCCTCATTGACTGCCATGAGACGACTTCACACATCCACCTGGTGATGGAATACTGTGCCTTGGGAGATTTGTCACTGTTCATCAAGCGCCGAGATACACTCGGGGACCACCGATATACGCAGGACATGATTGCAAAGTATCCGAACCCTCGTGGCGGCGCACTGAATGAAGTGGTCGTCCGCCATTTTCTCAAGCAGCTGGCAAGCGCCCTGAAATTTCTCCGAGACCGAAACTTGATTCACCGTGACATCAAACCACAAAATCTTCTACTGTGTCCGTCTCCGTCGTCATACCGGAGTGGCGTGGCTCAGGTCGTGCCGTTCAAAGGGTGTGAAGAATCCTTTATCCCTGCAACGGGACTGGAATCTCTACCAATGCTCAAAATTGCGGATTTCGGGTTTGCTCGATCTCTTCCGTCGACATCGCTTGCTGAAACATTGTGTGGCTCCCCTCTGTATATGGCCCCCGAAATCCTCCGGTACGAGAAGTACGACGCTAAAGCAGATCTTTGGTCTGTGGGTACGGTGCTCTATGAAATGGTGGTGGGCAAACCTCCTTTTAGGGCAACAAACCATGTCGAGCTGCTTCGGAAGATTGAGAAAGGAGAGGACAGGATCAAGTTCCCCGAGGAGAACCCTGCCTCGGATCAAATAAAGTCACTTATTCGAATGTTACTGAAGCGAAACCCCGTCGAACGTATGACTTTCTCCGATTTCTTCGATTGCGATACTATCACAGGACCTATCCCGGGGTTAATAGCTGATGATGCCCCATCAGCATCTCGCCGTTCCTCTGTCGCTGTGGACACTACCGGGTCGACATCTCGTCCCCAGTCTCGAACGGGATCAAGGACCCCCACCGGGATGAAACGCGAGAAGGACGCCTCGTATCCTAGAAAAAAGGACGATCTAGTATCGTCCCCAGCTGCTCATCGACCTACCACGCAGAGATCGGACACTCCACCGGCTTCCTCGTCTCCTATGCGTAGGGTGGGAAGTGTGGACAGACCGACTACATCCAAAGAACCGGCAGCCACGGCACCTCAGAGACCGAGTGCGGTGTCTCTTGCCACGGCTCCCGGTCGTCAAGAGCTTGTGGATCGAAATGCTACGGCCCTTGTAATGGAGCGTCAGAGGAGCCGAAATACCTACGCAGGAATCCCACAAACCGAGAAGCAAGCAGAGAAAACAAAAGAGGAAAGCGAGCGCGCTGCACAAGAAATTGCGTTTGAGAGAGACTATGTGCTCGTGGAGAAACGTGCTGTGGAGGTGAATGCTTTTGCAGATGAGTTGGCACATAGTCCTCGGATCCAGGGTGGCTTCCCCAGAAACGTCTATGCTCTGTCCCGTCGTCCAGGCACTCAAGGCTCGTCCACAGCGACAGCTACATCACCCTTGGCCACTACAGGTAAAGCAATGCAGGTTGCTTCTGGACGAGCTCGGGCTGATTCGACACACGCTCGCCAAGGGTCTTACGAGCGTCGATACGGCCAGAGTCCTACGTCTGCCATCTCAAAAGCGCTTCACATGGCCAGCGGACGCTTGTTTGGGATGGGATTCTCGCCACCTATGACTATTACGAAAGGAGGGCGCTCTCCCCCACTGGGCTACAACCCCTTCCCAGCCTACCCGGCGGCTCAAGGTAGTTTGATGGTTGTCGGGGATGGAGCAAGGACTAACGTGACCCTGGATGAGGACGCGAAGACCGTCCAAGTGATCGAAGAGTGTGCCACGCGAAGTGACGTGGTGTATGGCTTCGCCGAGGTCAAGTACAAGCAACTCATCCCACTGGCGCCATCCGTTCAAACAGACCCTTCGGGAAGGGCTAATGTGCCCGGCGGGGAGCGGGATCCTACCGATATGACGGATGGTGGGCTCACGGTTGATGCTGTTGTAACTCTGTCCGAGGAAGCCCTCGTTCTCTACGTCAAAGCACTTTCCTTGTTGGCAAAATCTATGGATATCGCTGGTGCTTGGTGGACCCGGAAGAACCGTGGAGAAGCGTTTGGCGAATCGGCGATGGGGAGGACGGACGCCACTAGCACGCTTGTCAGCAACCGGATCAACAATGTCGTACAATGGGTGCGAAACCGATTCAATGAGGTGTTGGAAAAGGCAGAATTTGTTCGTCTCAAGTTAATCGAGGGCCAGAAACGCTTGCCACCAGATCACCCCAGTCATCCTAGTAATCACTCCGTCGGCTCCTCCGTCGGCTCCGGTGCATCCACGGACGTTGTCGTGAGTTCGGGTGTAACGGCGGAGAAGCTAATGTATGATCGGGCGCTAGAGATGAGTCGGGCAGCCGCCATCAATGAACTTACAGGTGAAGACCTGTCTGGGTGCGAGATAGCTTATGTCACCGCCATTCGGATGTTGGAAGCTGTACTAGAGGAAGAAGAGGTATCCCGGTCTGGCCTAGGAATTGGCACCGACAAAGGCGATGCCCGGCGAGATGGCGACAAAGCCATGCTGGATGGCGTACGGGTGGAAGACAGACAGGTGGTGATGAAATGTGAGTTGTCCCACGCACACAATTGTAAATTTCTCTTCTGACGGGTCATTCAGTGGTATCCAGCATCAGGGGTCGCTTGGCATCCCTGCGCAAGAAACTCGCCCTGTTGGCAAAACGGCAGAGCCCACCCTCTAGCTTTCCTGGCAAAGTGGCTCCGTCCAGTCTGGCGCCTGTTGCTCAGGCCGTCGGGACAACGCCCAGATAGAACGTGGAACGTTCAATCTCATGCATGCAGGTACATGCTAGTCAAGATATAGTCCTTTCTCTTCAGTATTTTCGATTTTCTCCTGCATTTTACCTCCATTTCCTATCTAATCACGATTCGTGTGCGAGTTCATATACGGCGCTTTCTGTTGAAGATCTGTCAGCGCATTTGTTCCTTTTCCCTTTTTTTTTTTCCCTCTCTTTCTTTCCGTATTTTTACGTCTCTTGAAGCTTCGATTTTCATTGTCACGAGAAAGCAGTCTATCTTTGTACTGCCTTGATTTGGCGTTCGAGGTCGGAGAAGTATACAAATTGCCAC